ACGGCTGAAAGGGCGAGCATGTTCGGTGTGACGGGGATTCGAACCCGCGACCCCCAGATTGCGAGTCGAGCGCCCTGACCACCTGGCCATGTCTTAAGATTGTAGAAGTCCTTGATAATATTCGTTACTGGAATAAGGAAAAGTTTCTCGGAAATCAGTCGTAGAAGGTTCTAAATAATAATTAAAATAGACCCCAAATACATTTGTATTCGGATTTATTAACGTGTTTATAAAAAGGGCGAGAGAAATAAAATTATAACACAAAATTTTGCTTGATTGGGAAAAAAAATTGTTTTAAACAAGAACTTAACATTTGATAATTTACTTGCTATTACAAAAACACTTGCTTATAATCTACACTATTCTAAAGTTTTACAAACATATGAATATCAATATGAAATATCTTATATTGTATAGGAAAACAGATGATATATCAATTATATTAATCTTGTAAGGACTAATGATGAGAAGCAGTGTCCCACCAGGGGATTTGCAATAAATATTCAATAAAAGTTTGAAGTTATAGGGTACAATTTATCAGGAAAAAAAGTTAATGTAAGTAGTAAAGCAAAAAAAAAAATTTTACGTATTTTGCACTTGAACACGTCTTGGAGAGAATGCAAGTGGCATGTAAGTTACAATGTTGATATGAAAAAAAAAGTGAGCAAAATTTCAGAGAGACGTATACTTTGTTTTATATAAATATAACATAAACACCTGGAACAAAATCTTGAGCTTCATGGAAAATTCCCTGATGTAGAATTTTTAAGAAATATGTTTTTATCTTGATTCTAATGAAATTAGTTTATATTATAAACATTTCTTTATGAAAACACAAAAAATAGTCATTTATCAGTACAGAAAAATGTTATTCGAAACATAATTTTTTCCTAGGCTCTTGCTTACAAAGGACATGGGATAACTTGTAGGATATTGTAGATGTTCAGACATGGAGCCGATGGAGAAACTATTTAGATTTTTATTCTTTTACACTTTTGTTGAAAATATCGTTTGTTATTTTAACTTTACAAATTCTAAACGTTCAAAAGAAGTTTGTTTTCAGATCAAGACTTTTATGCTATAGTTTAATTGAACTCTGATTAGAAAGCAAGTTTAATGACAATGCACATCAGTTATGAGACTTGGTTGTCTTCTCTGTGAATTTGAGAATTTTGCGCGAAGCTACATGAAAGTTATATGTGCAATCGTCTCTAATTTTGAACTGATATAGGGAAAGCATCCAAGGGAAACTCTTGTTTCTCTTGTGTGATTTAATAGTAGAATTTGACTCTCGCTTATTATAGTACATCTACGGTCCCAAAGTGCGGAGCGCATTATTGAGGCAATGAGCGACGGAACATATTTTCTTGAATTCACAGTACGAGCATGCTAACCACCAAGCCGAGCTTTATTCCATTTGTGTGTGTATATATTTTTTTATTTTATTAAATCACCTTAGACATAATAAGTACTTGTATTTATTTTATAATTTTCCACTGAATCAAAGCGATTCCCCTCTAGTTAAACAAGTAAAGCATTCAGTATTAAATTTTTAATAATAGCAACGCGCGCGCACACCCACGTACAGGTAGCGCTGTTTTGCAAAACATTAATATTTACAGAAAACCAAACAAGTCATTCAATGAGAAATTACAAAATAAAAACTAGTAAAGCATTCAATATTCATCATCTGCTTGTTGTTGTCAACGCTTACCATGCCTATCAGTCCTATGCCTTCCTCACACAATCACTAGCTAGACTGCAACCACTCCGTAACATCTGTGACCCATTTTCTCCGCGGTCGACCTCCCTTTCTACAGTCTTCCACCTTGCTCTCTGTCAGAGTTTTTTGAATCTTATTTGTTCTGATAATGGGTCCAAAATACTGACACTTTCTTTCTTGGATGTCTGCTTTTAGTTTACGCTTTGTTTCGGCCGTTTCCAATATTTCCTCGTTTGTTTTATACTCTGTATATGATATTTTCAACATTCTTCTAAGCATCCACATTTTCAACGCTTCTATTTTGTTTTAGAGCTCTTTCTCTGCAGCATACAGGAAAATTAATAGTACCGCATTGGTCCGATTATAAGTCGATTACATTTTCGGAAACAATGGGAAAGAAAAAAAATGAGCGTAATAACGTTCTTTTGTTTAGATCTGCAAAATTGATAGTATAACTGATTTAGCGATGACTTTGAGTGAACAACTGGCGCGCATGCGTAGACGGATGCTAGCTGGACATTCAGGAATAAGACAAGCTAGAGTAGGGGGAAAGGACCTGTGGTCGGCCGCGATTATAAGGCGACTATGAATTTTACAACCTAATTATTAATAAACAACATCGCTTTATAATCGGACCAAGACGGTATACAATATTTTATAAGTTTCTTCTTTGTCTCTTACATAATGTTTCTCGTTGTTAATACATTTTTCATAGGGATGAACTTTGCTTTTGTAATTTCCATCCGACTCTCGACATCTGTCTCACATTTACCATCTTCAGTTATTAGTTGCCCCAAGTAGACAAACTTGTCCACTTCTTCTATTGTGAGGCCCAGCATGGCCAGATGGTTAGAGCGCTCGACTCGCAATTTTAGGGTCGCGGGTTCGAATCCCCGTCACACCAAACATGCTCGCCCGTTCAGCCGTGGGGGCGTTATAATGTGACAGTTATTCGTTGGTAAAAGAGTAGCCCAAGAGTTGGTCGTGGGTGTTGATGACTAGCTGCCTTCCCTCTAGCCTTGCACTGCTAAATTAGAGACGGCTAGCGCAGATAGCTCTCGTGTAGCTTTGCGCGAAATTCAAAACAAACAATCTTCTATTGTGTGACCATCCACTTTGATGTTGACTCTAACTTCTTCTTTTATATCTCACCCCACAACCATGGTTTTTGTCTTCTTTGTATTAATGCTCAACTCGTACTCTAAACTTCTACTCACTAAGTCCATTATTTTTTGTAATGCTTTCTCTGATTCTACCAGTAGCACTATATCGTCAGTGCCACTGCATTAACTTCTCCAATTTTTATTCCTGGAAGTTCGTCTATCTCTCTTAAGTATCTCTTCTGTGTAAAAGTTGAATAACTTTGGCGAAAGTATGCAACTTTGTCTTACACTACGCTTAACATTGAAAATATCTGACTGACCTTCTTCTAGACGAATACTTGCAATTTGCTCCTAGTACAGGTTCTGTATGAATCTCGCATCTCTACCGTCTATGTTACACTTGGTTAACACGTCTATAATTATCTTTCGATGATGCACCCTGTCAAAAGCCTTCTCATAGTCGGTGAAGCACACACACACACACACACACACACACACATATGATCTTTTGCTCATCTCCAGGTATTCAGTTTTAAAAAAAAATGTAGAGGACAACGCTTACAAAGTTTTTTATTTAATTTGGCTGGTTACACAAGAGCTATCAGTGCTCACCTACTACGGGTATCGAAATCCGATTTTTAGTGTTGTAAGCACGCAGACTTACCACTGAGCTCCTGGGGGGCGATTTATTTATTATTATTTTTTTGTTAGAGACTAGTGCAGTCGTAAATATTCTGAGATTCACGAATAGATGGCGACTCTTGCTCGTACCCTTGACAGTTTTGTCGTTCAATACTGTAACGACTGCTAGAAGTAGTTTATACTGATCGAAACATTACATGGCACCTTCTACTTAACACATGCCTCCTCCCCTCCTCTTCATGCGTCTTGTTATAACTCTTACAATGCTCTTTGGGAATACCATAGCAGTAGTAGCGTTACCTCTGAGATAGTACACTTCAAGGTTATAAGTATCTTGAAAGGATGGTCTCATCACCAGTCAACATTGTTTAATGAATGTGCCAGTTGTGGTACGACTTATGTTTATAGTGATTAGTAATATAAATTTCTGTTCAAAGACAATATACCAAGCAGGCACGTGCTATGATACTTGTTAACAATACACATAATTATAGAATATTTTAACTGTTTCTCAAAAAACTTGTTAAATTTATGTAAAACAAACGTGTCACAAAAATATTTAAAACAACAGGCTTTAATAAGTCACTCGAGGTGGAATAGTGTTGTATTTAATACTAATAATATATGTATAAAGAAAAACGTATACGAAAAATCAACGGTTATCAAGTATTTCTTTTAAACTTGTTCTCGTGCAATGAGAGTAATTGTATATTATTATGACACTTTTTTATGCATTTCAGCTACTATGTTGTTTATGAAAACGGGCTTATTTTTTTAAAGATGTTTTATTTATATGTTGCTTTACGTATATTGAGCAGATCTCTGGTGGATACACGTGAATACCCTATCTCTGGTAACAAGTACCGGTTTGTAGAATATATCTAATCTAAGAAACATGTTTTCCCAGAAGACATCGACCTTTTCTGTGGTCTACATGCTCATCCCCAGTGATGTCCACACAACAGTCTTAGTAGTTTCTGTCGATGGTTTGAAGTGCTTCTTGTACTTGGCAGTAGAAGTAGTCATGGATAGTCTGTATTGTAAGACTGCCATTTTCTAAAGAACAAAAAATCATTATCTTTCAAGTACTCCAGGAGTCGCGCATTTTTCTGTGTTGAATCACTTGCTTTTTAAGTTCTTGTCTTGGCTGTTAAATGTGACAAGACTAACTCCTAGAAATTACAGGAATTATATATAGAAATAACCATTCTTGTCAGTGATATGTA